ATAAGTTGCTCAGCAGCTTCAAATCGAGGATCCACAAAGGAATCATCGCCTCCAGCAGCGGCGGCAGCAGCTTTGGCGGAGTTAGGAGTGGAGGAAGATGAAGAAGTCATGAAATTGGAGAGCTTAGAGAGGCGATTATCGAAAGTAGATAAGATCATAAGCATATCATCAGTGTCAACATTTGTGGAAGTGTTGAGACTCTTAACGATCTGTTGAGCTGCAGCAAGAACCCTATCTTGTCCTTCTATAGTCGCCGCCATCAACCCTTCTCTCTCTATATTTTCCTTCCTTTCTCTTTCAACCTGGCTCTATATATCTCTATATGTGTGGATTGAATTGAATTGATATACGTATAGAGATTTGAGGGAGGGTTTGAAATTAGGGTTTGGGAGAAAGGGGGAAGGAAAATGGGTCCTCGATCGAAGTGAGAGGGGGAAAGAAGGGAGAAAGAGGACTGGAATTGTTTGGTGGGTTTTGGGAATTGGAATTTTGGAAAATTCAAACGTCGATTGTTGCGTCCATTTCTGCAGCTGCGGGCGTGCGGGTTGTTTCGTTAGACTTGGGTTGTGGCTATTGCCTTCGTCCTTCCAACTTCCATCATGATAAAAAGAGAATACGGTACAGTATACGACTTTTTTTTTTTTGTTTAATTTTTTATAAGCTTTTGTACAATAGTACTGATAATAGCGTTATACGTTACGTCAGGAAATTGTATACACCTAACTAACAATGGACCGCTGTGTGGGTTGTACCGTATGCGTCATGTTCTGTACATGACAGCTTTTGCACTTAGGCCTCATTTGTTTGTACTTAATGGAGGTTTGAATCTTAATCATTCATATCTCAAACAATAAGTGCGTTTGTTTTTAAAGTCTGAATCTTAATTATTCAGATCTTAATCGTTAAGTGTGTTTATTTTTTAATTCACAACCACTTAATGGGTCTGAATAGGTCTGTATGATTAAGATCTATAACAGAAACTTAATTTCATTAAGATGCTATCATCCATATTCATTATTAACTGCCGCTACCACCTACCATTATCAATTACCACCACCCACCACCACCATTTTCAATCATAATAGCTACCACTATCAATCAACACTAGCTACTGCCCTAAACTACCACCATCAACCAAATCTACCACCTATCACCGCTTTTAGTCGGCATTCACAAGCACTACTGCTAGCTATCACCACCATCAACTATCATATTTTAAAAAGCTATATATTTTATTTATAGAATATTAGATTAATTAGTATTTTACTTGAATTTTATGTTTATTAATTTTTAAATAAAGGTAAATCTTATATATTCAGATGTTAAAAATCAAACAATCTTGATCATTTAGTATTCAGATCTTAATACACATCTTAACATTCAGATATGTATTCAGATTTAAATGTCTTAATCTTAATACACATCTTGATATTCAGACGTGTATTCAGATTCAGACGTCTTAATCTTAAGAAAAAAAACAAATGAGGCCTTAGATTTGTTAATGAGAGATCAACCGTTACAAATGTTCTTTTTAGTGTTACTCCCTCCGTCTCATTTTATGTAACAATATTTTTCTTTAATCAATTCCAAAAAGAATAACATTTTTCTCTATTTACTAACAATTCAATTTTAAGATTTCCTTTTTAACACAAAATTCTATGGATTCTTTTAGATCATGAGTTACAAAAGTCTGCGGTCATTTCTTAAACTTTGTGTTCAATCAAACACGTTCATATAAATTGGGGCGAATGTAGTATTTCACAAGATACAACATTGATAAATGAAATATGCTATAAGAGATATTTGAAGGTAATTTTCTTTTCTTTAAATTATTGATGATCGTTATTCTTCATTATATTCTATGCAATTAATTAGTAGAATATACATTTGAGGAGCCAACTACGAAGCTCTTAAGAGGCTTTCTACTAGAGGAAATTTAGTTTAAGCAGTCCACTACAAATATTTATACTTGGAGCTCGTTTGGATTGTCTTATTTTAAGTGCTTTTAAGTTAAAATAGCTTTTAAGTCATTTTGTAGTGTTTGGATAAAATAAAAAAGTGTTTTTAAACACTTATTTTTAAGCTAAAATGACAAAAATAAATCAAAAGCCAAAAATTAGAATTCCTAACTTATAGCTTTTGGCTTAAAAGTCACTTACAACAAGCCTATACAAACATGCTCTTAGTTATTCTTTTAACAATGAGTTCTAATGGTTATCCTACTAGATAATTTAATTTGTCTCTCGTATTGTCTTTAGCATATGAACCCTCAAGATATGGTTTTAATTAGTTCGTATAATTTAATTATTTTTAATCAAGTCAGCTAAATGGATCTCGATTAGTGTTTGGTTGGCACATGTGAAAATTTATTCTCTAGATAAGGTTCACACTTATCCAACCAATGAGGTAACTAGTATAGAATTGATTATCTCATAATCCACACTTATTTAATGATCCGAATCAGTTTCTTACACCAAGGCTGTTGATAAAAAGAATTGGGAGTTTTACATTCCTATGTCATATAGTAAACTATATTACCCTAAATGTTCATGTTTAGTAAATTACCCTACCTACACAAGTTTTGTTTACATAATATATACATTCCACCTTAAAAGGTTCTCAATCCATTATTAGTGCCTTCAATTAACGGATTTAGTTACACCCTTTTCCTTTTTTCCTTTACATCATAATTCATAAGCCTACGCCACTTCAAACGGGTGGTTTGTCTCTGCTTTTTTATTTTTCTAATTGGAATTAGAAAGAGCCCCAGTCATACTTATTTAGCAAAACTCATAGAAAGGTCATCGTCGTTAGCATGGCTTTTCGAATCTCTTATTGATTTTTCTCCAAACTAAAAGACACCTACCGTCTTTTCAAAAAGATACAAGGCCAATACCAAGATATATTTTTCAAATTGAACAAAAGAAAAAGATTTTCTTCTAATTGACACCTCATAGATTCACAAAACAATGCCCTTGCCTCCACTACAAAAACTTTTACCTAGAGCGACGCTGCACTACCATTCCATCTTCTCTGGTAGATATATACCAAGCTTATGACTTCTATTCTAAATTGTAGAGCCTAAAAAATAACTTAACTGAACGTATACGCCTTATACTACGATCTTTCTTGCATCTCTATCACTCTATGGGACTCATCGAGCAAAATATATTATTTTATACGATAGATAAGTTGTTTTATACAAATTTTATGCAATATGTCTTTTGTATATTTTGTATCTGCTTTATACATAGTAAAAACAAATTTTATACAACTAATTATATATTATACAACCTATCTACAACTTTCATACATTATTTCTGCCCAGTTAAATACAACTACAATATCATACAACTTAAATACAATTTTTATATAAATTTTGTACAATATGTCTTTTGTATATTTTGTATCTGATTTATACATAGTAGAAACAAATTTCATACAACTAATTATATATTATACAACTTATCTACAACTTTCATACATTATTTCTACCCAGTTATATACAACTACAATAACATACAACTTAAATATAAATTTTATACAATATGTCTTTTGTATATTTTGTATCTGATTTATACATAGTAAAAATAAATTTCATACAACTAATTATATATTATACAACTTATCTACAATTTTCGTACATTATTTCTACTCAGTTATATACAACTACAATATCATACAACTTAAATATAATTTTTATACAATGTTGTTCAACTTTCATACAATAGTTAAATGAATAAAATAAAAAATAAATAAAC